GGACAGCACAGAATTTGAATATTTCCACCATCCCAGCAAGTTCTTTTAGACAACATCGGTCTAAGGCCTTTCCAGAACACTTGTTCAAAAATTCCCTAAAGGTTAAGACACTTCTCTTTGAAGGTTGTTGAATAAAGACAAAATGAAGTTTGCAGTAAGGAAAAGAATTATCTGAAGAATGGAGATTAAATGTGTCTTGCATAAGAATAAAACTCACTTAAAAAATTATGGTGAGGATAATTACAATGCTTTAAGAAAGAGTGCATATGGAGATTAATAGACATTCAATATCTTAATTTTTCCTTTGATGATTAAGAGATCCTCTTCCACAGTATTCCTCCTTTAGGACAATGAGGAATTAAATTATAGAGTGACTTTAGAGACTCTGTAGTCATTCTCACTCATTTTAGAGTGAAGACGAATGTCCAGAGTACACAGGTCACTTTCTAGGTCACACAGCTCAGTTATCTGCAGAAACAACATGAGAACAACACACATCTCCTGAAGTATTAATCTGAACAGTTGTTCTCTGTTGGACAAGGTATATTCAGGATATCTACCTCAAAATCATTTCTGTATTATCTAAGTCAAAGATATTCAAATCACAGCTTTCCCTGCCTCCTATGAAATGGGTTATTGTGTAACTGCCATTTAACATGTATCTGTATTTCTCTAAAGGCCAGAAAAACGTAAGTCAGACTCCTAGAGTTAATAACTAAGACTGACCCTGAACTGTCTAAATCTCATCCCCTGAAATTTGCAAGTCCTATCCACTTTCCCAAGCACCTGGGGAAATTAAGTCATCTTTTACAGGTGCATTTTGTTTAGGTAAACGTCCAGAGCTAAAATAATGTGTTGCATATGATGGAAAATATATATATATATTTGTAGAATTTTTTATGATGTATATTGTAAGCAGGAACCAGAGAGAGCATTTCCTATTTTATATGAAAGGTTGTAGGTGAGGAAGAGTAAAATTGTCAAGCATATAAACCTGCATTTAATTAGGTCCATTTCAAAGAATCATATTCAAACATATGTAAATGAATATATATTTTTGTCCTTGGGGCCTAAATCTGTCAGGTCTTGAGTTCCGGGATTGACTCAGGACAGTCTTAAGTTTTACATTTCCTTAAGTGGTTTAGTATTGGCTTGGCCAAAGTCTCCCTGCCTGCCTGCCAAGTCTCCCTGTTACACATTTGATGGCTTCCTTCTGGGGCTTGCTAACTTTTGCTGTCTGACAAATGAATTAACAACAGGATATCATCAGAGTGGCTCCTAGATAATTAATGTCCATTTGACATTTCAGTGAGTTTATGCATTGAAAGACATTTGATTTTAATGCATACTCCTCAGCTTTGCTTGGAATTTTTTTCAGCTACTCTTTACAACCTTTTTGGAATAATGCTCATGTTTCCTCTCCCAGGCTAAATCAAATTTCATGTACTTTACTTACCTTCTTTCACGATTCCTTGTCTCCTTTCCCAGTGCTCTCATTGATTCTAAACTGAGTCATTACTGGCCTTTAAAAACCTACTGCCCTACTTAATTTTATACTTTTTTTCTTTCCTTTCTTCTGACTAGGTTAAATCAGTGCTCTGTGCTAGAGATGGTCTGCAGTGCCACAGACTGGAAGTCATTCCTTCTAGGAGACTAAAGATCTCAATTTTAAGAGAAAATCATAATACAGGGATAATTTACTTTCTGAGGAATGGTAGAACCAAACTGAACACTATTTTTTTTTTATCATAGTCTTCTGATTCTGTGGGGGGCTTGGGGTTTTTTTATTGCTGTTTTTGTTTTTGCTGACTGTACAAGCTTTTTTTTTTTTTTCATTTTTTAAAATTTAAATTTGTTTGTTAACATATAGTGTAGTGCTTCAGGAGTAGAATTTAGTGATTCATCAGTTGCATATAACACCCGGTGCTCATTACAACAAGTGCTCTCCTTAATGCCCATCATCCAATTATCCCATCCCCTACCCACCTGCCCTCCAGCAACCCTCAGTTTGTTCCTTATAGTTATGAGTCTCTCCTGGTTTGCCTCTCTATGTGTTTTTATCGTTTGTTTTTCCTGCCCTTCACCTATGTTCATGTGTTTTGTTTCTTAAATTCCACATAAATCATATGGTATTTGTCTTTCTCCGACTTATTTTGCTTAGCATAACACAGTCTAGTTCCATCCATGTCATTGCAAATGGTAAGATTTCAATTTTTTGATGGCTGAGTAATATTCCATTGTGCGTGTGTGTGTGTGTATATGTGTGTGTGTGTATATATACACACACACACCATCTCTTCTTTATCCATCAGTCGATGGACATTTGGGTTCTTTCCATATTTTGGCTGTTGTAGACATTGCTGCTATAAATATTGGGTGCAGATGCCCCTTTGAATCACTATTTTTGTATCCTTTGGATAAATACTTAGTAGTGTAATTGCTGGGTCATAGGGTAGTTCTATGTTTAACTTTTTGAGGAATCACTATACGGTTTTCCAGAGGGGCTGTACCAGTTTGTATTCCCACCAGTAGCATAAGAGGGTTCCCCCTTTCTCTGTATCCTCTAACGTGTATTGTTTCCTGAGTTGTTAATTTTAGCCATTCTGACAGGTGTAAGGTGGTATCTCATTGTGGTTTTGATTTGTATTTCCCTGATGACAGGTAATGTTGAGCATTTTTTCATGTGTCTGTTAGCCATTTGTATGTCTTCTTTGGAGAAATGTCTGTTCATGTCTTCTGCCCATTTCTTGACTGGATTTTCTGTTTTCTGGGTGTTGAGCTTGGTAAGTTCTTTGTAGGTTTGGAATACTAACCCTTTATCAGATATGTCATTTGCAAATATCTTCTCCCATTCTGTCATTTGCCTTTTAGTTTTGTTGATTGTTTCCTTTGCTGTGCAGAAACTTTCTATCTTGACGAAGTCCCAATAGTTCATTTTTTGCCTTTGTTTCCCTTGCCTTTGGAGATGTGTCTAGCAAGAAGTTGCTGCAGCCAAGGTCAGAGAGGTTGCTGCTTGTGTTCTCCTCTAGCATTTTGATGAATTTCTGTCTCACATTGAGGTCTTTCATCCATTTTGAATTTATTTTTTGTGTATGGTGTAAGAAAGTGGCCCAATTTCGTTCTTCTTCATGTGGCTGTCCAATTTTCCCAACACCATTTGTTGAAGAGATTGTCTTTTTTTCCATTGGATATTCTTTCTTGCTTTGTCAAAGATTAGTTGACCACAGAGTTGAGGGTCCATTTCTGGGTTCTCTATTCTGTTACATTGATCTATGTGTCTGTTTTTGTGCCAGTATCATACTGTCTTGATGACTACAGCTTTGTAATACAGCTTAAAGTCCAGAATTGTGATGCCTCCAGCTTGGTTTTCTTTTTCAACATTCCTTTGGTTATTCAGGGTCTCTTCTGATTCTATATCAATTTCAGAATTGTTTGTTGCAGCTCTGTGAAAAATGGTGTTATTTTGATAGGGATTGGATTGAATGTGTAGATTGCTTTGGGTAATATAGACATTTTAACAATATTTGTTCTTCCATTTCTTTGTCTTCCTCAATTTCTTTAATAATGTTCCATGGTTTTCAGAGTACAGATTCTTTACTTCTTTGGTTAGGTTTATTCCTAGGTATCCTATGGTTTTTGGTATAATTGTAATTGATTCTTTGATTTCTTTCTGCTGCTTCATTGTTTGTGTATAGAAATGCAACAGACTTCTGTGCATTGATTTTATATCCTGCAACTCTGCTGAATTCCTGTATCAGTTCTAGCAATCTTTTAGTGTAGTCTTTTGTGTCTTCTACATAGATTCTGATTCTGTTTACCACCCTTTCAGAAAAGAAGCCAGGTAAGATAACCCTTATATTCAATGTAACAAAAACCCTCCTCCTTCAATTCGCCTGTAAACATGTTTTTCAAACAAATGTAGATATTTATATCACTGGGTCCCAAACCTGGGTTTTGAGATGTCTCCTAAGAATTCTCCTTAGAATCTTAGTCAGTTTCCTAAAAATGTGACTTTTTATGCAAGTCCTTGAAATATACTGGATATAGCAGAGGGGTAGAGAGTGGTGGTTACAAGCCCAGAATATTGATTCAGATTACTTGGATTCGAAGCCCCACTGTTACCTCTCCACTTTAATTTTCTCATATGTAAATAAGAACAATAATAGTACATTCTTTATAGGATGTTATAAGGATTGAAAATGAAAATATAAAGAGAGCTTAGAAAGATTAAATATTTTGTTATAAAACTGAGTTTATTATAAATGAGAAGTCTATCTTTAGTAGCCTTGTCCAATAATTGATACAAGTCTTTTTTGTCTTCTCAGTTTCAAAGAGGCTAATAGGAAGCCTAGAGCACTAGAAGGCCATTTACAACTAATATTTTCCTCTTTAAAGACAAGGTGAGGGCGCCGGGGTGGCTCAGTCGTTAAGCGTCTGCCTTCAGCTCAGGTCATGATCCCAGGGTCCTGGGATCGAGTCCCACATCGGGCTCCCTGCTTGGCAGGAAGCCTGCTTCTCCCTCTCCCACTCCCCCTGCTTGTGTTCCTGCTCTTGCTATCTCTCTCTCTGTCAAATAAAATCTTAAAAAAAAAAAAAAGGTGAGTCAGATGATATGTGTCCAAGAAGTTTAAACTCATGACTATATGCAAATCTATTATTCGTACTATGCCTTAGGTTACTAGCTAAACAGCCAAATAAAAAGCCCAGATAAGAGTGGTTTAAAGAGATGGAGAGGAAATTTTTTCTCCCTTATGTCCTAGCCTCAGTGGTCTGTCTGTCCATCTCCACCTTTTTCAACTTAATGGAGGATCCATCGAATCCTATTGAAATAAAAAGCTTGGATGATCTCTTCAGTCGGATTCCTAGGAAATAAAACCTGAGACAGGTATTCATGTGAAAATGATTCAATAGTGTTATCAAGGAAAACCAGTAAAAGACTAGCAAAGTGGGACAGGATATTAAGGATGGCAAGCAATGCCAATGGAGGATAATATTACCTCAGTTGCCCCAGGAGAGGACACAGCAGTGGACATCATACCTTTAATGTACTAATCAAGTCACAATGGAGCTGGAGTATTTATACTCTGTACTCATTGGTCATTGCTTTGGATTAAATGAAGGAATTTACATTTACAGGCACTTCTGGCTTTCCCAATTTGAGGCAAAAATCATTCCATCAGTCCAAGGTCAGCATGCCCGAAAGAGATACAGGTGTTGTCTGCAGGGAGAGGAAGCAGTCCTGGAGTTGGTGTGCACTAAAAAGGTAAAGAGTCGCAGTGAATATTGGCAGAACATTACTACATGGAGGCATGATTCACTGAGGCCAATGTGGTCTACCAAATTCAATGTGGTTTTAATTTGCATTTTTCTTATTATTAATGAGTTTTAAGAATTCTAACATCTTTTCACATGTTCAGCAGTACTTTTTATTTCCTTTTTTATCAAATGTCTAATAGATCTTCAGCCAATTTCAATTCTCCATAGTTTTATTAGGGAGATTGGTTACTTTTCTATGGTGTGAATTACAGATATTTTATCTTTTTCAAACAGTGGCTTCTTGAAAAATGGACTATGTTGTCATTTTACTGGTAAGCATTACTGCTTTTTTTTTTTTTTGTAGTTTTGAGATATTCTACGTGGTGCTATAGTAGTACCCTTTTTATTATCAATTATTGCATTAATTGGGTTTTTTTTTTTTTAGAGTTTCCTATGGTATTGGTTTTGATCTTTAATAGATCCATAGTGATGTTTTTCTGGTTACCATTCTTCACTGATGTTAGTACAATGGTCTTTGTACATTTTAAAACAGAATCTCTTGGTCAAACCCCTTTTATTAGTTATTTATTGGAGTTTTCTGGAGTATGGGGAGATGGCAGGGAAGCTGCCAGAAACAACACAACTGAAAATCTTTTTTTCTAGTTTGCTGCCAAAGATTCAGACTGCTTCCCACAAACATGGCTTTTCTATGTGATTCCCTGATTATAATAGCGTGGGAGAGGAAAAATAATTTTCCCTTTACCCTACTGAGTTCTTTCCTGAGACCTCCCTGTAGTAAAAGCAAACAATTGAAAAACAGAATTTTAATAACATGCACCCCTCCTGTATATATGGGAGATACCCAGGAAAACTGAGTTACTCCCCAAAATGCCCAGTACCATCATCAGCTAAAGACAAAAGACGTTGGGGTAGGGGGGAACCAGTTTGGGAGGTTATCAAGTAAAGCACAATAAATAAGGATTTCCAGAGATTTCTTGGTACAGAGAAAGAAAGACACCTTAGAAATGAAAATTGCCCTTATACATCTGAATGTCTCTTACAAAAAGGTGATTTCTATGTGGTTTTCAGAGCATTTCCTAGGTCTGCTATATCTTAATTATCAGCTCAAAATAATCATTATTACACAGAGGCACATTTTAGGGTGATATATTTGGCTCCTCTTCAGTCCCACCTTTGAAACTTGAAGTAAGAAGGTTGACAAATTTCTTGGTCCTGAGGTCAGTCCAGTTAAACAGCAGTGTCCTTGCACATGGGCTTTCAGAGTTAGGCCTTTATGGTGTGAACAGTCTTGTATTCAATATGAGGCACTTCAATAGAAACAAAAGAAAACCAGATAAATTGTTGTAGCAGACTATAAACCCAGTCTGAGTCCTCTAGATGCCTGACTCAAAGCCTCCTTTGCTGTTTGAATATCTGATATCATCAGGTGTGCAGGTAAACTTTGAGAGTGGCCCACATAGCAAAAGGCTTGAAGATTGTATAAACAAGCACTATTGTGGTTCCTTCTCTGATGTTTACATCAAGTTGTTCCCCTTCAGTTTACAGAACATAAGGAAAAAAATGACTAAGAACAAAAACTACACAAGTCAAAAGGGTAGGAGAAAATTGCAAACTTCAGTTTGGAAACTCATGGCTAGATTTTGAAGGAACTAGAAGAATTCAGGATCCCATACATAAGTGGAAAATAGAACCTCAAAAACAATAGCACTAGAATATAATTATTTACAAAGGTGCAAACATAATTTTTCTCTCTACAATCACCCAGATTTCTATTAAAAATCACAATAACACTAATTTGTTTGCAAATTAAGTCTAGTTGAATAAATTTGGTCTGATAATTTACATAAGTGGAAAAAGAATAGCTATTGGCCATATTGGCTCTTTTAAATCTGCTTTGCTAGAACTGAACTTTTTTTTAAAGTATGGTTGACATACAATGTTATATTAGTTTCAGGTGTACATATTGATTCAATGATCTATATGTTATGCTCACCACAAGTAGAGCTACCATCTGTACAATATTATTTACTATATTCCCTATGCTGTATTTTTTATCTTCATGACTTATCTTACACTCATCCCCCTACCAACCTTTCCTCTGGCAACCACTAGGATCTCTTGGTTTGTTTGTTTTGTTTTTTAGATTCCACAGATAAGAGAAACATGAATACCATGATTTCATTTATTTCATTTAGCAGAATATATCTGCTGGATCTAGCCATGCTGTGACCAATGGCAAGATCTCATTCTTTTATGACTGAATAATATTCATGTGTGTGAGAGCATGTGCACATGTGTGTATACCATAGCTTCTTTATCCATTTGTCTATAAAGGGACACTTGGGTTGCTTCCATGTCTTGGCTATTGTAAATAATGCAATAAACAAAGAGGTGCATATATCTTACTGAATCATAAAGCACTTCTCTTTTTAATTTTTGGAGGAAGCTCCATACTGTTTTCACAGTGGTTATGCCAATTTACATTGCCATCAATAGTGCACAACAGATCCTATTTATTCACATCCTCACCAACACTTATTTCTTGTCTTTTTATACTACCCATTCTGACATGTGATTTGATAACCTCATTGTGGTTTTGATTTGCTTTTCCTAATGATTAATGATGTTGAGCATCTTTTACATATCTGTATGTCTTCTTTAAAAAATCTTTTCAAATCCTCTGCTCATTTTTTAAGCAATTTTTTTGGTGTTGTACAAATTCTTTATGTACTTTGGATATTCTCTTATGAGATATATCATTTGCAAATATTTTCTCCCATTCAGCAGTTTGCCTTTTCTTTTTGTTGATGATTTCCTTTGCTGTACAATGTGTTTTGTTTTAGTGTAGTCCCAGTAGTTTATTTTTATTCTGTTTCCTTTGTCTGGAGACATATTCACAAGTCCAAGAGATTATTACCTGTTTTAAGGATTTCATGGTTTAAAGTCTCACATTTAGGTATTTAATCCATTTTGAATTTACTTTTGTGTATAAGTGGTCATTGCATTCTTTTGTGTGTATTTATTCAGTTTTCCCAATACCATTTATTGAAAAGAATGTCTTTTTCCCATTTTTTATCCTTGTCTCCTTTGTCATAGACTGACCATATAGGTATGGGTTTGTTCGAAGCTCTCTATTCTGCTCCATTGATCTATATGTCTATTAGTATGCCAGTACCATACTGTTTTGATTAATATAGCTTCATAGTGTATCTTAAAATTGGGATTGTGGTACCTCCAGCTTTGTTCTTCCATCTCAAGATGGTCTTGGCTATTCAAGGTCTTTTGTGGTTCTATGCAAATTGTAGGATTATTTGTTCTAGTTCTATGAAAAATGATGCTGGTATTTTGATAGAGATTGCATTGAATCTGTAGATTGCTTTGGGTATTATGGACATTTTAACAATATTCTTCCAATCCACAAACATGGAATACCTTTCCACTTGTTTGTGTCTTCAGTTTTTCATCAATGTCTAAGTCTTTCACCCCTATGGTTAAATTTATTCCCTAGAAATTTTATTTCTTTTGGTACAATTATAAATGGGTTTATTTTCTTTCTGCTACTTCATTAGTGTATGGAATCAATAGATTTCTATTAATTTTATATCCTGAAACTTAATTCATTCATCAGTTCTAATAGTCTTTTGGTGAAGTCTTTAGGGTTTTCTATATGTATACTCAGTATCATATCATCTGCGAATAGTGACAATTTTCCTTCTTCCTTATTGATTTGGATACCCTATTTCTTGTCTGATTACTATAGCTAGGACTTCCAGTACTATGTTTAAATAAAAGTGGTGAGAGTGAGTATCTGTCTTTTTTCTGACCTTAGAGGTAAAGCTCTCGGTTTTTCACCATTGTGTATGATGTTCACTGTGGATTTTTCATATAAGACCTTTATTATATTGAGGTGTTTTTTCTTTAAACCCATTTTTGTTGAGAGTTTTTATTGTGAAGAGATGTATTTTCTTAAATGCTTTTTTTCCTGCACCTATTGAGATGACCATATGGTTTTTAATCCTTCCTCTTGTTAGTATGATGTATCACAATAGTTGATTTGCAAATATTGAACCACATTTGTATCCCTAAAATAAATCCCACTTAATCATGGTGAATAATAACTTTAATGAACTGTTGTATTTGGTTAATATTTTGTTGAGGATTTTTGATCTGGGCTTTTTTTTTTTTGTAATGTCTTTGGTTTTGGTATTTAATACTGGTCTTAGTGAATGATTTTGGAAGTTTTCCCTCATCTTTTAGTTTTGGAATAGTTTGAGGAAAATCTAAATGGGAAAATTCACCTTTGAAGCCATCTGATCCTGGGCTTTTGTGTGTTAGGAATTTTTTTTATTACCAATTTAATTTCATTACTAGTAATTGGTCTGTCAAATTTTCTATTTCTTCCTTATTCAGTTTTGGAAGATTGTATGCTTTGGGGAATTTATCCATTTTCCTAGGTTTTTCAATTTCTACTCTTTTTTATTTCTGTCCTTTTACTAGTGTTTGACTTTGTTCTTCTTCCAGATTCCTTAGTTGTAAGTTAGGTTGAGATTTTTCTTGTTTCTTGACAAGGATGTCCACTTTTATTTAACACAGTACTGGAAGTGTTAACCATAGCAATCACACAGAAAAATAAAAGGCATCCAAATTGGTAAGGAAGAAGTAAAACCGTCACTATTTATAGACTACCTGATATTCTATATAGAAAATCCTAAAGACTCCACCAAAAACCTATTAGAACAGATAAAGGAAGGGGTGGCTCAGTCAGTTGACATTACAACTCTTACTTTGGCCCAGGTCATAATCTCAGGGTCATGAGATTGAGCCCTGCCTTGGGCTCCACACACAGCAGGGAGTCTGCTTAAGATTCTCTCCCTCTTCCCCTTCCTCTGCTCATGCTCACTTGCAAACTCTCTCTCTCTCAAACTCACTTGCGAACTCTCTCTCTCTAAACAAATCTAAAAAAAAAAAAAAACTGATAAATGAGTTCAGTAATGTCACAGGATACTAAATCAATATACAGAATTCCATTGCATTTCTATGCACTAATAATGGAGCAGAAGAAGGGGAAATTAAGGAATTTTTTCTTGCAAATTACTATTTACAATTGTACCAAAAATAATAAAATACCTCAGACTAAACTTAACAAAGGAGGTGAAAGACCTATACTCTGAAAACTATAAAACATGGATGAAAAGATATTTCATGCTCATGGTTTGGAAGAATAAAAATTGTTAAAATGTCCATTCTAGCCAAAGCAATCTACAGATTTAATGCAATCCTTCTCAAAATACCAACAGAATTTTTCACAGAAATAGAATAATCCTAAAATTTGTATAGAGCCACAAATGACCCCAAATAGCCAAAGCAACCTTGAAGAAGAACAAAACTGGAAATACCAAAATCCCAGATTTTAAGATATACTACAAATCTGTAGTAATCAAAACAGTATGATACTGGCACAAAAATAGACACATAGGTCAATAGAACAGAATAGAAAATCCAGAAATAAACCCGATTATATGGTCAATTAACCTTTGATGAAGGAGGTAAGAATATGTAATGGGAAAAAGACAGTCTTTTCAATAAATGGTGTTGGCAAAACTGGACAGCTACATTCAGAAGAATGGAATTAGGCCACTTTCTTACACCATACCAAAAAAAAGTTAAAATGAATTAAGGACCTAAATATGAGACCTGAAATCATAAAAATTCTAGAGGAGAGCAAATGCAGTAATTTCTCTGACATTGGCTATAGCAATATTTTCCTAGATATGTCTCCGGAGGTAAGGGAAATAAAACCAAAATAAGCTATTGGGACTGCATCAAAATAGATTCGGCACAGCAAAGTAAACAACCAACAAAACTCAAAGGCAACCTACTAAATTGGAGAAGATATTTACAAATGATATAACTGATAAAAGGTTACTATCCAAAACCTATAAAGAACTTAGCTCAACATCAAAAAAAAAATACAATTAAAAAATGTGCAGAAGACATGAATAGACATTTCTCTGACAGATGGCCAACAAATAAAAAGATGATCAACATCACTCAGCATCAGGGAAATGCAAATCAAAACCACAAGGAGATATCACCTCACACCTCTGAGAATGGCTATAATCAAAAACACAAGAAACAAGTGTTGTTGAGAATGTGGAACAACAGGAACCCTCATGCACAGTTGGTAGAAATCGAACTGGTACAGCCACTGTGAAAACAGTATGGAGATTACTCAAAAAATTAAAATAGAACTACCATATGATCTAATAATTCCACTACTGGGTATTTACCCAAAGAATATGAGAACACTAATTCAAAAAGATATATGCACCCCTTTATTGCAGCATTATTTACAATATCCAGATTATGGAAGCAGCCAAAGTGTCCATCAATACGTTAATGGATAAAGAAGAGGTGGTACATATATATAATGGAGTATTACTCAGCCATCAAAAAGAATGAAATCTTGCCATTTGCGACAACATGGGTGGATCTAGATAATATAATGCTAAGCAAAATAAGTCAACCAGAGAAAGACAAATACCATATGATTTAATTCATATGTGGAATTTAAGAAACAAAATCAACTAGCCAAGAAAAAAAGAGACAAACCAAAACCAGACTCTTTACTACAAAGAACATACTGATGGTTACCAGAGGGGAGGTGGGTAGGAGGATGGTGAAATAGGTGAAGGGGATTAAGAGTACATTTACATGTGCTCGCTTCAGCAGCACATATACTAAGAGTACACTTACATGGGTGCCTTGGTGGCTCAGTCGGTTAGGTGTCTGCCTTTGGCTCAGGTCATGGTCCCAGAGTCCTGAGAGAGAGTCCTGCACTGGGCTCCCTACTCAGCGAGGAGTCTGCTTCTCTATCTGCCCTTAACCCTGCTTGTGCTCTCTCTGAAATAAATTAAAAAAAAAAAAAGTACACTTACCTGATCAGCACTGTATCATAGAATTACTGAATCACTACATTTTACAACTAAACCTAATACAACACGGTATGTTAACTATACTGGAATTAAAATTTAAAAAGACCCACTTCGGTGCTCATCCATAAAAAGCCACTCCTCATCCATTAACTTTTTACCATGAGATTATGGCAATTCAGTTCTATCTTCAGGCTCCACTTTTAATTGTAGTTCTCTTGCAATTCCCACCATATCTGCATCTACTTCCTCCACTGAAGTCCTACCCTTCAAAGTCATCCATCAAGGTTGGGATAAAGTTTTTCCAAACTCGTGTTAATATTGATATTTTGCTCTCTTTCCATGAAGCAAAAATGCTCTTGATGTCTCCAAATCGTGAATCCTTTCCAGAAGGCTTTCAATTTACTTTGCCCAGAGCCATCAAAGGAATCAGTATCTATGGTCTTGCAAAATGTATTTCTTAAATAGTAAGACGTTAAAGTCAAAATGACTGGTCTATTTCTCTCTATTCATGTGCTGCAGAATGTATATTGTTAGCAGGTGTGCAAATGACATTAATCTTGTTGTACATCTCCATCAGAACTTTTGGATAACCAGATGAATTGCCAATGAACAATAATATTTTGAAATAAATCTTTTATTCTGATAAGGTCTCAACAGTGGGCTTAACATTTAGTAAACCATGTTATAAACAGATGTGCTGCAATCCAAGCTTTTTTGTTCCATTTATAGAGCACAGGAAGAATAGATACGGCATAATTTTAAGGGCCCTAAGATTTTTGAAATGGTGAATGAGCATTGGCTTCAACTTTAAGTCATTAGATGCATTAACCCCTAATGAGAGAGAGGGCCTGTCCTTTGAAGCTTGAATCCAGGCACTGACTTCTCCTAACTATGAAAATCCTAGTTGGTATCTTCTTCTAATAGAAGGCTATTTAATCTACATTGAAAATGTATTTAGTGTAGCCACCTTCATTAATGATCTTAGCTAGATCTTCTGATCTTTTGCTGCAGTTCTACATCAGCACTTGCTGCTTCATCTTGCTCATTTGGGTTATAGAGATATCTTCTTTCCTTAAACTTCATGGACCAACCTCTGCTAGTTTCAAACTTTTTCTTCAGCTTCCTCACCTCTCTCAGTCTTCATAGAATTGAAGAGTTAGGGCCTTGCTCTGGATTAGCGTTTGGATTAAGGGAAGTTTGTAGTTGGTTTCATCTTCTATTCAGACCCTCAAACTTTCTCCATATCAGTAATAATACTGTTTTACTTTGTCATTCATGTGTTCACTGGAGTAGCACATTTAATCTCCTTCAGGAACTTTCCTTTGCATTCACAACCTGGCTGTTTGGAATAAGAGGCCTAGATTTCAGCCTATCTTGGCTTTTGACATGCCTTCCTCACTAAGCTTAATTATTTCTAAAATTTTATTTAAAGTGACAGATGTGTTACTCTTCCTTTCACCTGAACATGTTGAGGCCACTGAAGGGTTAATAATTGGCCCAATTTCAATACTGTTGGGTGTCAGGGAATAGGGAGGCCTGAGAAGGGGGGGGCGGGTAACCCCTGATGAGGGCAGCAGTCAGAACACAAACATTTAAGTTCACAGTGTTATGTGGCCATGGTTTGTGGTGCCCCAAAACATGTAAAATAGTAATAAAGTTTGAAATATTGTGAGAATTACCAAAAATGACACAAACACAGGAAGTGAGCAAATGCTGTTGGAAAAATGAAGCCAAGAGACTTGCTTCAACACTGAGTTGCCACAAACTGCATTTGTAAAAAATGCGGTATCTTCAAAGTACAATGTAGAAAAGCACAATAAAACATGTCTGTGATATCCAAGATTGTAAGGAACTTACATAACTCAGTAGCAATAAAGCAATCCAATTAAAACAACAGACAAAAGACACGAATAAACTTTTTCCAAAGACAGTATATGAATGTCCAACAAGTACATAAAGATGTTCAATATCCCTAGTTATTAAGGAAATACAAATTAAAACCACAACAAGATATCACTTCATACATGTCAGAATGGCTGTTATCAAAAAGATGAGAGCTCACAAATGCTGGCATGGATATGGAGAAAAGGGAGCTCTTGTACACTCTTAGAATTGCAACTTGGCACAACCACTATGGAAAATGGTATGTAGATTCCTCAAGAAATTAAAAATAGAATTAACCATATGAACCAGCAATTCCATTTCTGGGAATATATCCAAAGGATATTAAAATTCTAAGTCAAAGAAATATCTGCACCATGTTCATCCCATGATTATTTACAATAGCCAACACCTGGAAACAACTTGTGTTTATTGATGAATGAATGGATAAATAAGTTGTTGTATACATATACAGTGAAATGTTATTCAGCCATAAAAAACAAGAAAATGGTACCATTTGTGATAACATGGATGGACCTTAAAGCCTTATGCTAGGTAAAATAAGTCAGACAGAGAAAGACACATAATGTATGATCTCACTTAAATGTGAAACTTTATCCCTCCCAAACAAAACCAAACCCCATGGGTAGCACAGTCGGTTAAGCATCTGCCTTCAGCTCAGGTCATGATCCCAGGTCCTAGGATTGAGCCCCACATCAGGCTCTCTGCTCCGTGGGAAGCCTGTTTCTCCCTCTCCCACTCCCCCTGCTTGTATTCCCTCTCTTGCTGTGTCTCTGTCAAATAAATAAAATTTAAAAAGATTTTAAAAAAAACAAACCAACCATAAACTCATAGAAAAAGAGATCACATTTTTGGTTACCAGAGGCAAGGAGTGAGGAAAGGAAGAATTGGAAGAAGGTGGTCAAAAGTTACAAACTTCCAGTTATAAATCATTACTAGTCATATAATGTACAACATGGTAAGTACAGTTATTACTGCTATATAATATACAGAAAAGGTGGTAAGAGTAGATTCTAAGACCTCTCACCATAAGGAAATTTTTTTCCTTTTATCTATATGAATGTTGGATATTAATCACTTTTTGTGATTATTTAAAAATATATTCAAATGAAACAATTATACTGTGCATCTTAATAAAACTGGGAAAAAAATGTACCTATAACAAATCTTTACCAGTGTCACTATATCCAAGGAAATAGTTTCATGGGTTTATCTACATTTGGAAAGGAAGGGACAAGTTTAAAATTTTACCTTCTGTTCTCAACTAGGCACTACAGAGTGAAATCCTGGAGAGCGGACTTTGGTAATAATTCTTATCCTTTGCCAGCTTCTGCCAGTTTTCCAGGTTCCTGTCTGCAGGCTCTGCAGCAAGTACAGTATCTCAGCAGGCTCCATTATGGGTCACCAAACTGTAGGTGAAGAAAAATAATTTTATCTTTACCCTTACAGGTTCTTGGCTGAGACTCCCTGTAATAAGACATATAAATAGAAAAATAAAGTTTAATAACATGTATTCTTCTCATATACATGGGAAATACCCAGGAAAACTGAGTGACTCCCTGACTTGGCCCAAGCCAGTATCTTAAATATCATCTTTAGCTAAAGACAAAAGATGATATGTGTGGGGAGTCTAGTTATGGCAAAGCACATGAAATGAGGGTATGATTGTTATGCCGATTTAAGTCCCTGTCTTTTCCACTGGTAAGAGTTTCTAGTGATTTGTAACTCCCCTTTTTCTTAGAGACAGGGAAACGCCTTTACAAATGAGGATTTCCCTTATAAATGTAAATATATTACAAAAGGGAAACTTCTATTCAATTTTCAGAGCTTGTCCTGCATCAGCTGTTTCTTAAAAATAACTAGCTCAAAAAATCCTTATGCCAAAGAGGCAGTTGTGGGTGTTATATTCACTCCCCTTCAAAATCAACTCTTACCAAAATTTTCAGCCTTATGGATGTCCTGAGGATTTTGGATCTGCCATCACCCACGATATTGCATAAGCCAAGTCCTTAAAATAAATCTCTCCCCCCCATCTCATATATATATATTAATATTTACAATATATGCTCCATATTTTGTTAATAAATAAAAATTGAAAATAATATTGTCAATATTAGCTTATGTGTGATGAAATAGGAATTATGGTAGCATTGAAAACTGGAGTGACCTTTTAAGATATAATGCCAGGTAGCTTTTTTCTTAAGCAATTTTGATGTAGGAAAGAATGTTAGGGTTCGAAGCCAATGGCCAAGAAAGAATTCTTGAGATGTCTTTGGTGCAAAAAGGTGGTTTTATTAAAGCATTGGGACAGGACCTCTGGGCAGAAAGAGCTGCACTGGGGTCATAAGGAATGGCCCATTATCTACTTCCAAGTTGGGAGGGGGTTTGGGATAACATAAGTCTCTATAAGGAATTTTGGAAGCAAGGTTTCTAGGACCTTGAGGGGGCTGGCTATTGTTGGGAAAAGGTCATTTATTACTATCTAATAAAACCTGAGTTATGAGGCCCTTCAGATGTATATTGGTGGGTCATATGCTTGGGGGGTGATTGCCAACCCGTATTTTGGGGGGTAGAGATGAAGTTTTTTATATGTTAAAGTAGACTTAAACAGGATCCTGGGATTTGGGCTAAGATTGCCTTTTGCCCTTAGCAAAGTATTAACATTGAGGCAGTTGAATTCCTGGAGGAATGTCACTCTTCCTGTTTCAAGGACTTGTCAATAGGCTGTAGGTAGTAAGGAAATTTAGTAATTTTTCTCCTGCCTTTGTTTCCCACAACAATTTGACAGTGTATTACAAGTGTTATAAAAATGTTTACCTTCCAATCCTGTGGTAAAACTAGACTTTATTATGTTATATAATCAAAATACATTACATCATTAGTTTTTGATGTAGTGTTCCATGATTCATTGTTTGTGTATAACACCCAGTGCTCCATGCAGAACGTGCCCTCTTTAATACCCATCACCAAGTTAACCCATCCCGCCACCCCCTCCCCTCTAGAACCCTCAGTTTGTTTTTCAGAGTCCATAGTCTCTCATGGTTCATCTC